CACCATTTTCACATTGACATTCTTGTTTATCTCTCTTATCAACATTTGTTCTTGTTTAGTCATGAATAGCGGGATGTTAAGATAACCATTGGCTAATTGAGTCATTAAAAGGTGGTTAACTCACATCACTCTGACATCTATATATCTATATCATAGACTCTACATGATCTATATACACATGCACGCTATATATAGTAGTTATTATATATATATATATATATATATATATATATATATATATATATATATATATATATATGTGTTTTTATAAATATATGTGTTGAAGTGATTTTGATGAAAATGGCTGATAAAAAGATGCCTTTAGTAGTTAGGAACTATTTTAATGAAGTAGTTGAAGATGATGGAGATGTTATAGTTGCACTTTGTGACTTGTGCAAGCCAAAAAGACATCTTATTCGTGGACAACATAAAGCTCCATCCAATTTTACCAAGCACGTGAAGGTAATGATTCTCACTCATAAAAGAAATCGTTTAAGTGATGAATCATTTGAAACTTTACTTTTACTCAAAAAGAACAAACTCTTTTATTGATGTAAATAAATTACTGTAAATAATGAGTTGATTTCTGAGTTTAATAAATATTTCAAATTAACCATGGTATGTACTTAGGTACTTATGTACTTATACTTAGTACTTATAAGTATCAAGTATACAATTTGTTTTGATACTTAGTACTTATACTTAAGTACTTTTATCACTGAATACTTAGTACTTATACTTAAGTACATTTTTTGAGTACTTACGTCATCACTGCTTTTAACCTGAATATATATATATATATATATATATATATATATATATATATATATATATATATATATATATTGGTACGAGGTTTTCGCTTGAGCAAATTTTGTTAAAAATTGTTGCCCATTAAGCATTTATTAACTTTTTTTTATAATCGATTCAACAGAACGCAATTTTGCATAATCATATTTATTCAATAATTGTGTCATAGCTAGGATGACACCTGTTTCAGAAAAGATGCCATCGTCGGAGCCTTGGGTAATTAAACAAAGTATATTAAATTGTAATTTTATAAAATCAATGCGTTAAATGTAATGTCAAATTGAAACAAAATACATATAAATAAATACATATAAATAAATATATATATATATATATATATATATATATGTATATATATGTTGGTAATAGACCATAATTTTTACAATATTCTATAACACCAACATATGCTAAAAACAACAACATTACACTCATATAGTATTAAACGTATAATTAAAACCCACAACACAAATAAGATTCAATCAATCAATCTTCGTTTAGTGTCCAGAGACCGAGTTCCTCCGGGTAGGACGTTGTTTTTTTGGCCATCAATTTTTTGCGCCAAATTAGACGATCAGTTGTATCCATTTCATTTAAATTTAGAGCTTTCATGTCTTGCTCGATTGTTTGCGACCAGGACTTCTTTGGACGGCCTTTGGGATGTGTTCCGGGTATTTCAACATCTGCAAGAGAAGTTATGGCACTGTTCCCACGTCGTTTGACATGACCAAACCACTGCAGACGGTGTTGCCGGCATTCATCCTTTATATCATCTAAACCAGCACGACGCAGGATTTCGGTAGATTTGATGTGGTCCTTCAGACTAATTCGTTGCGTCCATCGGAGCATTTTTATGTCGGTTCGTTGAAGTTGTTGTTCCAGTTTGGTTGTCATTGGCCATGTTTTTGCACCATATAACAACATCGAACGTTTCATTCCAGGCTGCACGCATGCGTGCTCGAACGGCAGCTTCAGCTGTTCCAGTGCAATCCAGAACAACGATATTGCAACGATGTCACTTTCTCTACCTTAATGGCTTCAAATTGCTTCAAAATTCTACCTTAACTGCAATTTTGAATTTGTTGTTGTGGATTGGTGCAAGCAGAACAAAAAAAATTGGACACTTTAGATAAAGTACCAGTTATTTTTGAACAACGTTTGTGACACCACTGGTTACACTGCTGACACTTGATTAAATTGTTACCTATACCAGCTTTACAAACTGAACAGTGCCATTGTCTAGTAGCCGTAGATTGGATGGGTTCACCAGTGTTCATTGCTTTGGTTTTGCTGATGTTGACTTTGAATCCATGATCGGCGAGTTTGGTGTTCCAATCTTCAAACATCTGTGCTGCATTCTGCTTAGACGTGGCTGTTAAAACGATATCATCAGCATATATTAGATTCCAAATGTCACCAGTGCGTATAGGTTTTGTGATTTCTTCCATCACAGTTATAAATAACAGTGGACTGAGAATCGAGCCTTGGTGAACTCCAACGCCGATGTCAAATGCATCTGTGTTTTCAACCGTTGCGCTGACAAGAGTCTTAGTATTCGTATACATTTCCATTCTAAGTCGAACAAGATATTCTGGAATGAGTTGTCGACGTAGACTCCACCTAATTGCTTCACGGGGAACTCGATCAAATGCTTTTTCAAGGTCTACAAAAATGTGTGATAGTTGTTGATGCTTTGCAAGGTACTTCTCTTGCAGTTGCCAAAGGATGTGAATTGCATGAATTTTTGATTTACCCGCTAGAAAACAAAATTGATAATTTCAAATTGTGATCCACGACGTTAATCTTCTCTCAATGATTTTCTCGACAATTTTCAAGGGGTTTTCTAACAGATGTTAAAACCAAAAAACACAAATAAGATTTATTTTCTGATAACAAACCATTATTTTAAAGATAAATACTGAATTTATAATTTTTATATAACTAATTTAATATAATTTATATTATCATGCAGATATAAATTATAATTTTCTATACGGCGGAATTGCAAATTTTTAAAAAAATTTTTTTTTTTTGATGCATTTTTTAAATGTTACAGGTACTGGATCGAGATAATCAAATGGATAATCCTTATAACTGGTTACCAAATGCATATTGGGACAACATTACTAAGCTCGATAAATTGACAAACTTTCATGGTTTAACCACTTTATTTGAACAATATCAAAAAGATTGGAATACCTGGTATACAACCGCTGAACCAGAAACTTCAACCCTTCCAAGTTTTTTCGGCATAGTTTTTATATATATAATTCAAACCAAAACGGCATGTTTTGGAACAATGAGAAAAGAAATCGATAAAAATATAAACTGGCCTTTACAAACTTTTATTTATTTTTTGTCAAATCAATCAATCGAAAATCTTTAAATTAGAGTTGCACTTTTAATAATTTAGAAAATGAATCAATCTTCGTTTAGCGTCCAGAGACCCAGTCTCCCGAGGTAGGACGTTGTTTTCTTTGCCATCAAATTTTTGTGCCAAATTAGACGATCAGTTGTATCCATTTCATTTAAATTTAGAGCTTTCATGTCTTGCTCGATTGTTTGCGACCAGGACTTTTTTGGACGGCCTTTGGGATGTGTTCCGGTATTTCAACATCTGCAAGAGAAGTTATGGCACTGTTTCTACTTCGTTTGACATGACCAAACCACAGCAGACGGTGTTGCCGTCATTCGTCCTTTATATCATCTAAACCAGTATGGTAGATTTGATGTGGTCCTTCAGACTAATTCGTTGCATCCATCGGAGCATTTTCATATCGGTTCGGTGAAGTTGTTGTTCCAGTTTGGTTGTCATTGGCCATGTTTCTGTATCATATAACAACACCGGACGTATTACTGATTTATAAAGTCTTGATCGTAGTGGTAGTGGGATGTCACGCCGCATGAATTCAGAGGCAAGGAGATGTCATTTATTCCATGCTGCACGCATGCGTGATCGAACGGCAGCTTCAGCTGTTCCAGTACAATCCAGAACATCCCAAAGATATTAAAACGATGTGACTTTCTCTACCTTAATGGCTTCAAAAACATTGCAATTTCGAATATGTTGTTGTGGATTGATGCAAGCAGGACAAACAAATTTGGACACTTCAGATAAAGTACCAATTATTTTTGAACCACGTTTGTGACACCACTGGTTACACTGCTGACACTTGATTGAATTGTTACCTATACCATCTTTACAAACTGAACAGGGTCATCGTTTAGTAGCTGTGGATTGGATGGCTTCACCATTGCTTTGATTTTACTGATGTTGACTTTGAAACCAGGATCTGCGAGTTTGGTGTTCCAATCTTCAAACATCTGTGCTGCATTCTGCTCACACGTGGCTATTAAAACGATATCATAAGCATATATTAGATTCCAAATGTCACCAGTGCGTATCGGTTTTGTGATTTCTTCCATCACAGTTATAAATAACCGTTGACTGAGAATAGAACCTTAATAAACTCCAACGCCGATGTCAAATGCATCTGAGTTTACAACCGTTGTGCTGAGAAGAGTCTTAGTATTCATATACATTTCCATCACAAGTCGAACAAGATATTCTGGAATGAGTTGTCGACGTAGACTCCCACCTGATTGCTTCACGGGGAACTCGATCAAGGTCTACAAAAATTTGTGATAGTTGTTGATGCTTTGCGAGGTACTTCTCTTGCAGTTGCCGAAAGATGTTAACTGCATCAATTGTTGATTTCCCCGCTAGGAAACCAAATTGATAATTTCCGATTGTGATCCACGACGTTAATCTTATCTCAATGATTTTCTCGACAATTTTCAGGGAGTGTTCTAACAGACGTATACCCTGATATGATGAACAGTTCAATGGATCACCTTTGCCTTTGTATAGCGGAACTGTCACGCTATAGTTCTATTCAGTCGGCATTGAGCAATTTCTCCAGACTTCACGGCAAAGTTGTAGTAAAGTTTGGATACCTGCAGTACCAGATGCTTAGATAATGTCATTTGTGAGTCCAGAAGGCCCTGCTGCCTTTCCATCCTTCATAGCTTTCAGAGCAGCTGTAAGCTCCTCTACAGTGATGTCAGGAATCGGGCCTTCGATGGGTGGAGCGTCAAAATTGACATTGATGGGATTTGTTTCATTTAACAGACGGTTGAAGTGTTCTTTCCACTGTAGCTTGATCTCATCTTGTTTAAAACCCATCTTATTTTTGTCGTTACTGGCTTGCAATTGGTGGTCTAACTGTGTGGCGACAATCTGTTGAAATTTTTCTCGATGAATATTGCTTATTAGCTTCCACGTTTTGATTCTATGAGACTTTTGTTTATACTTATGTTATGACAGTTTGACAACCAGGTCTGCCACAAAGAGTTTATGTTGAGCGACACATGATTTACCAGGTATAACTTTGACTTTTTGAATAGCTTTCGGTGTTGTTGCTTGACAGCGAAGAAATCAATTTGCGTTGCTGATGGTTCATTTTTGAATGTTATGAGATGTTCCAACCTCTTTCTAAATAATGTGCTCAGTAAACAAAACCCGTGACTTACAGCAAACTCAAGGATGCGGTTGCCATCTTCATTCCGTTCTCCATAGCCAAAACCGCCATGTACTTAGTCAAAACCATCTTTTTTCTCTCCAACGTGGCCATTGAGATCGCCTACAATCAGGATTGTTTCAGATTTTGGTATTGTTGAGATGGTGTCAGATGCAGCCCAGTAGTCATTTTTCATCTCTTCTGATTCGCCTGTCTGTGGTGCGTATGCAGAAAAAATAGTCATTATTTGCTTATCTAGGCGAATCTTGATCCACATGAGACATGAGTTAATCCTTTTAATATCCAGTACTTCTTGGGCTAGCGGTTCTTTAACAAAAATTCCAACACCATTTTTGGCCGTCTTATGACCATTCCTTATCTGCATTATAAATTCGGATAACAACAGTTTCATTAAATTTTTATGATCAACTTGGATAATTCTATTTTCAACAAATTGAACAATAGAAACAATATAAATTTCTCATTTCTCTAAAAATTTTTATTATAAATTTCTGATCTTTGTTGGATGTTTATTTGGGTTTTATTGATATCTATTAGGGCAACTGTAGAAACTATATAAACCTAACCTGCACAGAAGATGATATATGAAAAATCGAAATAAGGCCTTATCTGCATGATGAATTCGGATAACAACAGTTTTATTAAATTTTTTTGATCAACTTGGATGATTCTATTTTCAACAAATTGAACAGTTTTCAAAAAATTCTAGTAAGAAAAGTTGAAAAGACAAACTTTAAATTGATTAATGCCAACAATTCGGTAGAATTCATACAATACTTATAATTATTCCTTTTGTTTAAAATTATTATTTGGAAAAGAAAATATATCAATATATTATGGTAAAAAATTGTAAATAATATTTTCAAAATAATGAACAAAAACTTAAACAAACTTTTTGCCAAGCGTTTGGTACTTTTCCCTCATAAAGACATTTAAACACCTCTTCTAATTCTGGAGACATTACCAGCAATCCTTTTATGCCTTTTTCAAGCTGATTCAGTTGTTCTTTGACTTGATCAAGAAGTTTGTTGTACCATAAAATCTGTAAAATTTATTGATACAAAAATGTGAAATTAAAAATTAGAATGTGAAAAAACAATTCTATTCTCAACTCTTTGTACGAAATCAAAGCTTAATTAAGTAATTTTTAAGGAAAGTATTCAATCAATACAACAACAAAGTAACATTTTTACTTTTGTCAAATTCACTCTACTAAACTTTTAAAATAACGTTAGATAAGATCACATTTCCAAGCTGTAACCCATCAGATGTTAGAACTTGCAATAGTCACATCATAAAACATTTTTACTTACTGAACTGGTCAAAACCTTAAGATATTTCAGAGGCTATTTTAGTGATTACATGCATGGAATATCCCAAAAACAAACATATCTTCAAAAAACCATGTTTCGAACGGCAAGAATCTTTGCGGCATCAACCTAGTCAAATTTAACTAAACGTCACTGGCTACTGGCTACTGTTTTTTTTGTGTTTTTAAGATACTGTTATAACCACCGAAATGATCAAATTGCGCTATATTATTTGATACACTAATTTGTTATCTTTGCAATATTTGTAACCTTTAGATTAAAAATTATAGAAGATAAAGATATATCGAATCTACGCTAAAAATATAGTGTAGAGGCTCTATAAGAATTTGTGGATAGTGAGATTTCTAGAAGAGGTTTCCAAAGAAGGTTTGATGCTAAGTTGTTATTGTGATTTATGTACTTATTTGGATTTGTTTACAGTTCTATCACTGTTGGCATTCAAATAAACATTCAACAAAGTTTGCGTTTGAAACAGTTGTGTTTATCTATCGGAAATCTCGAACCTACGGAATAACAAACACTAGACGGTCGTTAGAAGCTACAACACTGGTGTCGTAAATATAGAGATCTTTGAAGTTACAACATTGGTGTCAGTAGTGACGAGCGTTCAAGGATTTCAACATTGGTGTCAGAAGTAAGATTTTTGATAGCTTGAAACTTCGTTTTGAATGCCAGCGCTAAAAGAACTCAATATAACTAGTCTGAGGAAAGAATTACGATAAAGAAATCTCGACTACCGGCTAAGGGACGCTCTAATAAAAGAAAAAATCAATCCGGATGAGTTCGATTTTTCGGATCCTGTGAAACAACAGCTTACCAAAATGAATAGAAGAACAACTAAACGACAAGATCGATCAACACACCGTCGAAGTGATTGGAATAATACGATCAACCTTCGGAAGAACATCACCTACTAAAGTGACAATTGGAAATAACAAAAAACAGTTACACAAGATCTTGAAGTTCCTGACATCATATCACCAGCTTTTTCAACTACGTACAATTACATTCGCGATCGAAAGTCTATCCTTTCTACGGATGATTTCGAAGCACGTGTTAACTGCACGTGATATCTGCAACGCACATGATAACTGCAACGCACATGATAACTGCGACGCACGTGACAACTGAGCATGTGTTAACGTAGTGAAAGGCAGTTATCGTAATGATGAAGATGATGACAAAGACGACGATGAAAGTTTTGAAAATAGTCCAGAAGTTGGCAGTGACAAGGACATTGAAACTTTTGATATGCAGTAGGACTATTACTCAGATATTACTACCAGCACTTGCCTAATGCTTATTTTAAAAAAAGATGATGCCTAAAACGTCGATGAAGGTCTTGAAAATATTCGAGAAGTTAGCAGTGACAAAAACATGGAAACTTTTGATATGCAGTGAGACTATCATTCGGATTTTGTTGCCAACATTACGTCTGTTTTCATTAATAACAACAACAATAGCTGTAACTATAATAGAAACAACGATTTCAATGCAATGCTCACCAACAAGTCAATTTTTGATAATATGGATAAGACTTTAACATAGGAAAGCATTTATCTAGAGATTAACGATGTCAGTAAAAATGTAAAAATAATTCTAATGCTGATGTGAATATTCACTCAGGACAAGAATTAGTGACAGAAGACAAGAATTGGCGACAGACGATGATTTAAATTTCGAGATAACGCTTCCAACATGTACCTGGAAAAAAAGCTTGGTTCTCGTCTACCTGGATGACATCAACGACGGCTTCATTGCTTATGAGGATGAGTTTTTAATCGCTGCATTACTGATCGACAGGAAAGATGGTAACGACGAATCTTACAACATGAATCAAAGATACCCATCTGGTCAATCTACACCTTGTAAACTCAATAGAAAGTTTCAAGCGCCAACAAAATCAAGAAAGGACTACGACGTCTGTCTGCCTATGGCTAGAGGGACCAAAACAACGGAAAAAAGAAAGAATAGAAATATAGAATATAGAAAAAAAGGTAACGTCTATGTTAGGGACTAACATGCTACGGTGGGTTCGGTGCTAGAACCGGCAGAATGATCAAATTGCGCTATATTATTTGTTATTCCAATTATTGTTATCCATGCTATATTTGTAACCTTTGGTTTGTAAACCATAGAAGATTGTAAAGAGATATCGAATTTATGCTAAAAATCTAGTGTAGAGGCTATATAAGGATTTGTGGATAGAAAGGTTTCTAGAAGCAGTTTCCAGCGAAGGTTTGATGCAAAGTTGTTATTGTGATTTAGTTAGTTAATTGGATTAGTTTAATGTTTCTATTACTATTGACATTCAAATAAACGTTCAATAAAATTTGCGTTTGAAGCAGTTGTGTTCATCTATCGGAAACCTTGAACCTACAAAATAACGAAAACTAGACGATTGTTAGAAGTTATAAAACTGGTTTTGGAAATATAGAGATCTCTGGAGTTACAACATTGCTGTCTGTAGTAACAAACGTTCAATGGTTACAACAGTACATTAAAACTCATAAAAATGAATCTTCATGTATGATGCTTGCAAACACTAACAACAACCAGCGCCATTAATCTTTTCACCCCCCTTCAATATTTTAAACAAAACATAACAAATATTGTAAAACGTTTTTCTACATATATCTAAAATTTTCGCTCGCCAAATATCAAAAAATTTTAATTAAAATTTCATATCTTCAAATACTCGTTTTAGAGCCAGCGTTCTAACAATAACTAAACACTGCTAAGTTTAGAACTAATATCAACAGACTTTTTCGCAATTTTAAAATAGTAGATAAATGAAAACAAAAATCACAATAACTGCAATAGGCAATGTTGATAATTAATCTTATCTTCAACCTGATAAATTATATAAAAATCGTCACCAACAATCATCGTAATTATTGTTCTGTAGAAAATTTTTTCAAACTAATCATTGTGCCATTTTATCACTGATTTTGTATATGACACTCATTAAAAAACTTATCATTAACGTACAGAGAGACACGGCCTCACAATGAATGAAACCAGGTAGGCATGCAAAATTAACTTGGAACATATTGCTTCAATTTAAACACAAAAAGTATGCGGCATTGAACTATATTGGCAGTAGTTAAAGTTAGTTCAAGTCGGTTCAACTTTAAAACTACACCGTACATAAGAAACTGTATAACAGTTAATTTAACAGATATTCGTGTCAGCCGTTTGTAAGCTATGATATATTATAGTTAATGCAATGAATAAAATTAATCTTTATTAATTTCATTGTTGTATTCGTGTCAGCTGTTCGTATGCTATGATGTATTATAGTTAATGCAATGAGTAAAAATAATCTTTATTAATTTAATTTTGTATGTGAAACAAGCGTTAGTTAAATAAGGCATAAACAACTAAATTAGAGTAAACTTAATAAGACATATACATAACATATATATACCTCGTGTAAAAGAACAGTTTTCAAAGGCGATCTATCCGTTGCAAAAATTTTTTCTGTGGTAGAGTAATCGATGGATTCAGGTAACAATTTTTTAATATTTTCAGATGTCTCTAATACCTAAAAAAAATTGTACACACTGTAATTAAAATCTGTAAACTGTAAATAATGCTACAACCGAAATTATAATTTTAAACCTTTTCTTCTTTATCTCCGGTAAAAATTGAAATATGAGCCTGCATTGATAACAAAGTATCGAATAAAATTTTAGCTTCTTCAGTTTGAGATGTTATATCAGCATTTGTATGTTGACCAAAAACTTCTGGATGATCCATGTTTGGTAGCATGCTTACATATTCTCGATATGAGTTTAATGACCCGTCTCTTGGAACGTAATAACTTGGCAAACTAGACATTCTTTAAAAGTATATTTTAAAATGTTGTACGAAGTATGATAGCCATTCAAACAATTGGCAATATCTTAAGGGTATTAAATAAATTAGGTTGTTCTTGTTCTCTTATATTTTTACGTTCCTGTATATAAGCTGTATAAGGTATCTGGCATGAATGAAATAAACTTAAAAAGAGAGTTTATCACAAAAAAACTAAAGTCAAAAAAGATTAAAGAACTTAAAAAAACTGAAAATAAAATAAAGTTCAATTCAGACTTGTAATTATTATTAATCAATACCAAAAATAGTTTAACTCTGCAAAACTTAGAGTTAGTCAGTTATAGAAACAAATCTGGTCAACCATGAACCTGGGCACATGTTAAGTTTAAATAAAACCATTTTCAAAGTGTTGAAAGGCGTTTATAACAATATATACATTGTAAAAACAACGTAAGTGGAAAATAACGAACATCTAATATTAGTTTAGACGAGTGAATAATTACCATTGACACTTTAAATTGACATCACGCTTTCAATTAAAAAAAAACTATAAAAAAATTATTACAATATTAGTAACATTTTTATATCATTAAAAAGTTAACATAAAAAAATTGTAGATAGCCATTATTGCAAAGATTCCTTCCCATACATTAGCATTAGATACTTAGTATAAACGTAACCAAGGTTTAATTTGTTCAACGAATAACACGTAAAAAGAAACAAAAATTGAAATTAGCAACAAAACAAAAAGCAATGTTGTGTACAAAATCTTGGTTTAAAATAGCTTAACATAAATGTTATCTTAACAGCAGATCTTAACTGTCCTGGGTATGACATAAAACTGCATCCACGCTGCCTTGCGTGCTTTTGAGTGAAAGGCTAGGCCCACTGCTTATAACTGGTGGTTGTCGTCAGGATGGGTGTCCAGATGTAAAAACTTTTCCCCAAATTATTTCTATGCCATCACAAAGAAAAACAACGGCCCCTAGTCCCCAGCAGGCCTTAAGTGGTCAAGGGGTGCAAAGAATCCCTGGGAAGTATGCAATAGCGGAGGGATGTTGCAGAAAAATTCAGAATGGCTCCTCTATGGTACTTAGACTTGGAACGCTCAATGTTGGATCACTGACTGGCCGCAGCATGGAAATCGCAGAAATGCTCGAGCGTAGAAAGATTGACAACTGCTGCCTTCAGGAAACCCGATGGAAATCGAATGGTGTTTGTCATGTCAACTCAGACAAAGAAAAATATAAACTATTCTGGAATGGTCAAAAGACGGCCAAAAATGGTGTTGGAATTTTTGTCAGAGAACCGCTAGCCCAAGAAGTACTAGATATTAAAAGGATTAATTCACGTCTCATGTGGATCAAGCCTCGCATAGAAAAGCAAACAATGATTATTTTTTCTGCATACGCACCACAGACGGGCGAATCAGAAGAGATGAAAAATGACTTCTGGACTGCATTCTCTGACACCATCTCAACAATACCAAAAACTGAAACAATCCTGATTGGAGGCGATCTCAATGGCCACGTTGGAGAGAAAGCAGATGGTTTTGACAACGTACATGGCGGTTTTGGCTATGGAAAACGGAATGAAGATGGCAACCGCATCCTTGAGTTTGCTGAAAGTCACGGGTTTTGTTTACTGAACACATATTATAGAAAGAGGTTGGAACATCTCATAACATACAAAAGTGGACCATCAGCAACGCAAATTGATTTCTTCGCTGTCAAGCAACAACAACGTAGGCTATTCAAAAACGTCAAAGTTATACCTGGCGAATCCTATGTCGCCCAACATAGACTCCTTGTGGCAGACCTGGTTGTCGAACTGTCAAAACATAAGTCTAAACAAATGCCTCGGAGAATCAAAACGAAAATTGAAAATTGAAAAGCAATATTCATCGAGAAAAATTTCAACAGATCGTCGCAACACAGACCACCAATTGCAAGCCAGTACAGATTGGAGTACATACAAAAACGTTTTAATGAACGCTGCAACTACTGTTTGTGGAAAAACTGGTACAAAACGTCAGCATGAACGTGACACTTGGTGGTGGAATGACAGTGTACAAAAAGCAATAGCTGAAAAGAAAGTTGCATACAAGCAATGGCAAAAATCAAAGTCTGTAGATGACCATAAAATTTTCCGTGAGAAGAACAACTATGCAAGACGTCAAGTTGCACTGGCACGGACAGATCAGTGCAGAGAGTGGCTCACTGAAAGCAAAGGTAAACAAATGAAATCTCTGTATCGTATAGCAAAACAAGCAAAGAGTACGAAAAAAGACATAGTTGGTGCCTCATGTATCAAAAACGACAAAAATGAGATGGTTCTTGAACAAGATGAGATCAAGCTACAGTGGAGAGAATACTTCAATCGTCTGTTAAACGAAACAAATCCCATCAATGTTAACTTTGACGCTTCACCCATCGAAGGTCCGATTCCAGACATCACTGTAGAGGAGCTTACAGAAGCTCTGAAAGCTATGAAGGATGGAAAGGCAGCAGGGCCCTCTGGATTCACAAATGACATTATCAAAGCATCTGGTACTGCAGGTATCCAAACGTTATTGCAACTTTGCCGTGAAATCTGGAGAAATTGCTCAATGCCGACTGAATGGAACTATAGCATGACAGTCCCGCTATATAAAGACAAAGGTGATCCATTGAACTGTTCATCATATCGGGGTATACGTCTGTTAGAACACCCCCTAAAAATTGTCGAAAAAATCATTGAGAGAAGATTAACGTTGTGCATCACAATCGGAAATTATCAATTTGGTTTTCTAGCGGGGAAATCAACAATTGATACCATTCACATCTTTCGGCAACTGCAAGAAAAGTACCTCGCAAAGCATCAACAACTATCACACATTTTTGTAGACCTTGAAAAAGCATTTGATCGAGTTCCCGTGAAGCAATTAGGTGGAGTCTACGTCAACAACTCATTTCAGAATATCTTGTTCGACTTGTGATGGATATGTATACGAATACTAAGACTCTTGTCAGCACAACGGTTGGAAACACAGGTGCATTTGACATTGGCGTCGGAGTTCACCAAGGCTCGATTCTCAGTTCACTGTTATTTATAACTGTGATGGAAGAAATCACAAAACCGATACGCACTAGTGACATTTGGAATCTAGTATATGCTGATGATATCGTTTGAACAGCCACGTCTGAGCAGAATGCAGCACAGATGTTTGAAGATTGGAACACCAGACTCGCCGATCATGGATTCAACATCAGCGAAACCAAAGCAATGAACACTGGTGAACCCATCCAATCCACAGCTACTGGACGATGGCCCTGTTCAGTTTGTAAAGCTGGTGTAGGTAACAATTCAATCAAGTGTCAGCAGTGTAACCAGTGGTGTCACAAACGTTGTTCAAAAATAATTGGTACTTTATCTAAAGTTTCCAATTTTGTTTGTCCTGCTTGCATCAATCCACAACAACAAATTCGAAATAGCACTGTTTTTGAAGCCATTAAAATAGAGAAAGTCACATCGTTTCAATATCTAGGGAATGTTCTGGATTGTACTGGAACAGCTGAAGCTGCCGTTCGAGCACGCATACGTGCAGCCTGGAATAAATGGCATCTCCTTGCCTTTATATTGATGCGGCGTGACATCCCACAACCACTACGATCAAGACTTTATAAATCTACGATCCGGTGTTGTTATATGGTGCAGAAACATGGCCAACCAAACTGGAACAACAACTTCAACGAACCGATATGAAAATGCTCCGATGGATGCAACGAATTAGTCTGAAGGACCACATCAAATCTACCAAAATCCTGCGTCGTGCTGGTTTAGATGATATAAAGGACGAATGCCGGCAACACCGTCTGCGGTGGTTTGGTCATGTCAAACGAAGTGGAAACAGTGCCATAACTTCTCTTGCAGATGTTGAAGTACCTGGTACACGTCCCAAAGGCCGTCCAAAGAAGTCCTGGTCCCAAACAATCGAGCAAAACATGAAAGCTCTAAATTTAAATGAAATGGATACAACTGATCATCTAATTTGGCGCAAAATGTTGATGGCAAAGAAAACAACGTCCTACCTCGGGTAACCGGGTCTCTGGACGCAAAACGAAGATTGATTGAATGATTACCTAGCGTTGTTTTGTGGATGATTTTTTTTTAAAAAAGCATACCAAAAGCACTACAGAATTAATTTGTAAAACGTAAGCAAAATCAGATAACTCACTAATCAGCAATAATTTAAATTTTTTAAAGTTTAAAACTAGTGTGAACAGTGGCGGATCTAGACAACTTTGACGGGGCCATGGCCTCTCGCCTCCCCCTCTAGATACCCCACCCCACCTGAGTGTGAATTCGATGTACAATTTCAATGAAAAATAATTTTTCTGTCATCAATTTCAAGTGATTTTTTTTTAAATATAATTTTTCATATATTTGCTAATAAGTTAGACAAGTTAGAATATTAAGTTATTTATTACTTCTGTTAAAAAGTTTGAAAAAAATTAACTTGTACGATGGAGAAGTCAAAACGTCTTCGCAAAAGAAATCAGAAATGTAAACATTAATTAATCTTCGATCCCAATCGTCTGTCACATGACCTCCATAATTAATAGATGAAACCAAAAATTTTAGTGCTTCCCAAGGAGTTTCTTCATATTCATCCAAATATAAATTAAGCAAACCTTCAGAAACCTTTAAATTTATCATGACATACTCATCAAAATTTAAAGTTCAGAGCACAAATTTATAAACTGAACAAAAAATGTCGTTACGGCAGAATTTATATTCTCTCTACCGCTTCCACTACTGCCGTCGTCACTTTCGTCGCTGCGACGTGGCCATCGCGGTAGGATCGGTGGTCACGTCAGCGCCGTGGCGATCGTACACCCCACCGGCCGCTTGAAAAAGCAAGCTTACTTTCTGCAGGCGGTTGCTCCTCTTAACACCGAAACACGAGTCGGAATTCATGGGCCGGCGTAAAAAATGTTTTGCTGAACGTACAGACCGAAATTTCCATAGGCTTGCAAATCTTTCTTCAGACTTAGACTAATAGTTTTAATATTTTACTTATCTGTTATAGTAATAAATATGAATAATGTACCAGTGCTTCTTGGTCCAAACTAGTTTAAAATATATAACCAGATATTTGATATCATGAAACGTTTGAAAAAAAATTCTCCAACTTAAATTAGCGTTAAATAAAGCAACAAGAATAAAAACTGGCGTCATGGCGTCAATGGCTGCAGCCATTGACGTAGAAATGTATTCCCTAACTAATATACCTACAATTCTCGATGTATGCCCAATTCTGACTTTGAGTTCCAAATTTTTCAGTACCGACGCCAGTCCAAAATTATTGGCAATAAATTGCATATCAATCCATTAATTTGTTGATGAAACGATAATTTTACGCTGTTTCGATTAGTTCCTGATCTACCATAAATTTTTCGATGCAACAACAACTTCCGTTATACCGATATTTTGATATTGCATGTAATGGTATTTCTGGTGTTATAGATAGTCAGTTTTTTCTCACCCCTTTTTTTTTACACGTAAACTGTCTTTCTGTCATCTTGCCATATGACGTTCTACTTTACAATTTCTTCCCACTTCCGACGCACCTAACCAGCTGACATTTTCAGGGTAGGTGTATTTTGGGATAACCTATTTAAAAAGGGTATCCTAATCGATAGGAGTGAATTAAACTAAACTTAATCAATTAATCAAATTTAATTCAATTCAATCGAATAATTAACTCCAGGAACATGCCTCAGTAGTTACATTTTATAATAAAACGTGAAATATGATGGTGTTTTTCTTACTAAAACACTTTAGCGAATAAATTCAAATAAAACATCGCAGTTTTATGACTGATTTTGAATATAAAAACAATTATGATTGACAAATTTCATCATTTTTATTAAAAATTTGTTGAAACATTTTTGGAACCTAAAAATATTAGAATATTTTCGACATTTTTGCAACTTGTTTTGAAGCTTATTATTTGTCATTATAACGAGACTAGATTCTAAAACAAATGCAGAACTTTTTCAAAAAAGGTTTCGTTATAAACATTTTCCACCACAAGTACGTAATACATTACAAGACATACATGAAAAATACTTATTAATGTATTTACTAATTACTTACTATTTACTTTATTAATGCATTTTTATTAATGTACAAACACAGCAAATTTAATTAATTAACCAATTGACTTCACGAGCTTGTAACTATAGCAAATTTCATAAAAAAACATGAAATTTGAAAGTGTGGTATATTTTTGCTAAAAGAATCTGGTGAATAAATTTCAATTATTTACAATTAATCGGCGAGTTAAATTTTCTGACGCTAAAGCAAACTTAATTGAATTAATAAATAAATTATTTACTAAATAAAATTATATAATAAATTTTAACGACAAATAAATAAATTTTATTTGAAAGGTTTTTCAAATTTTTTAATGATTTTCATTTAAATGAACAGTTGAAATGCACATTTTTAATTATTTGCGTAAAATAACACGACAAACACGAACAAAAATTTTTTAATGGAAACGCTAGACAATGTAATTAATTTGATAAATTAGAACACAAATAATTGCCAAAAATTGGAAAATCAAGTGTAAAAATCAAAATTTGAACAAAAATATTAAAAACCTCAAAATCAGAGTCCTCGAAATTATATCTACTATTCCATCCAAGCATTGAAAATTTTCTTCGTTCAATCAAAATGGAGTGGAAAAATATTAAACAGAAAAGCAATTTTTTGTATTTTTCAGGATGTTTGCTTCGGATAAATTGGTGATCAGTTATCCTGGAATACATTCTTTTCATATTGGCTTTTAAGCCCTTTTTCAAAAATAAAAATTAATTAAGAATTTTTGGTCTATTTCGGTAACTGAAATTAAAAAATACAAAATTTAAAAAAAATAGCAGATATGGAACTATTTAAAACTACCAACATTAAATTTGAATTCTTTCAATATGAACAATATGATTTATAATTATTATTCATAACACTACTTCTATGTCATCTACTTTTACCTTTGATCAACTTCAGGAATCTATTCTTAGCCTTTTTCTTATTGGAGTCTGAACTTCTGAAATACTTAGTATTAATAAAAACATTTCTTTTACTAGTCAACTATATGCTAACGAATCCTATATTTATATTTCTTTCTTCCATCAGATCTTCATAATTTATCTTTATGTCTCTCTTCTATTATCGCTTGGGTTGATTCTATGTACCTGAAGCTAAAACCATCTAAGATTGAACTAATACATTTTAAAAACCCTAAACATATATATATATATATATATTACAAGAATTTTGTTTATATTAATATACATATAGCTATAAAAATTGTTTGTAGTGTCCCAAGCAAAGCATATTTAGAGTTAGATCTTCATCTTGCATTGAATGTGGTATATACATTTGTTGCTAAAATTCATAAAAAATATAAGATGCCAAATTGAATTAAAAACGCAGGGATATATATATATATATATATTATTACAATATTCTATAAATTCTACCGAATGTTTACCGAATATTACCGAACGTTAATATGTTTGTAGTTCGTTTTTTCGATTTTTATCACTAAAGTTTTTTGGTGAACGTTTAGTTAATTAAAATTCAAAATAAACTTATTTTTCGAATTCATGCTGCAAATAAGGCCATATTTCGATTTGGAATCAACAAATATACAGGCATTTGTTCATTCATGGCTTTGAACATCAGAACACATATTTTAAAAATTATTCGCTTTTTAACATTCAACCAATGGAGATCTTTCAATGTCTGAGTCACATGGGCAAACTTTGACCCTCCAACAACAACTTTCGCAGCTTTGTTTTGAATGGATTGAAGCACGGATATTGATTTATCAGGTAAACCGTAGAACAAACTTACAATAGTCAACCGGGGTACGTGCAAATATTTGAGAATACGATATAGTCTATGAAGTTGATATGCACATGATGATGAGATCATTCTCAAATGATTTTTCATGGACAATTTTGAATCCAAATCAACGACCAGGTTCAAAAAATTCTATAAGCTGACTATTGATATACTTAATTTATACCAATTTTAGCCAATTGCCACCCTATACCTAATGGCAAAAACTTGGCTTTACGCTGATTCAATTTTAACCTGTTTTTGACAGACAATATCCGACAAACATTTAACCAATCTCGGAAACACTAACCAACAATTCTGGTTTGCTCGTGAGTATTACTTGAATGCCATTCGTATAGGCGTGGCATTTAAAACCATTAGCTTCAATGATTCTCAAAATTTCCGATGTATATAGCATAAACAATATAGGTCTCAAAACTGAACCCTGCGGAACACCAGATGAAATTGCACCGACACCAGATATAGTATTATTTAAAAGTATCACCTGTGTTCGTCTATGTAAATAGGATCTGAACCATGCGGCTGGAACACCGGTTACCCCATAATTATACAATAGTCTATCCAGTAGGATTATATATATATATATATATATATATATACATATATATGTATGTATGTATATATATGTTGGTAATAGACCATAATTAATTTTTACAATATTCTATAAATTCTACTGAATGCCCGGTTTACAAATGATTTTATTGTGCTGTCTTTAAATTGTTCGGTACATTCACTTTGTCCATTCAAACAAATACAGAAAGAAGATGACCAGTCAATAAAGAAACCTGACACCTAATTTTCATCTAAGTTCACTTTGACAAAGTCAATCTCCATCTAAGTTCATTTTGACAAAGTCAATATTTCCCTATATAAACAGCAGAAAGCACTGATGATGATTCATTCGAAATCGAAATATGGCCTATT